AAATAATCTCGACCTTTTTACCGTCTATCATGATTTTGCCAGTCGACCCAATATGAGAATCTTTGTTTTCTTGATGTTGAGCTTCAATCCATATTGAAGGTTGCAGTTCTTGACCTTCTGTAGCAAGTGTTTCAGGTCCTCCTCAGTTTCAGCAAGTAAGATTGTATCATCTTTACATACATAATATTACTACATAATAACCTACATAATGTAGGTTATTAATGAATCTTCCACAAATCCTGATGCCACATTCCTCCTCACAGAGCTCAGCCTCCCAGATGATTTGTTCCACACATATATTGAAAAGCCATGGAGATAGGACACAACACTGAGGTACACCCTTCCCAATTTGAAAAGATGTTGTGTTTCCTTGCTCTGTTTTGACGACTGCCGCCTAGTTCGAGTATAGATTTTGCATAAGCGCAATTAAGTGTTCTGGGATTCCCATTCTTCTCAAAGTTAGTCACAGTTTGTTGTGATCCAAACAAATGCCTTTGCATAGTCAATGAAACACAGATAAATATTCCCCTGGTACTCTCTGCTTTCAGCCAAGATCCATCTAACATTAGTTATAATATCCCTAGTACCACGGCCTCTTCTAAACCCAACTACACATCTGGGAGTTCTCTGTTTATATACTGCTCCAGTTCTTTTTGGATAGTTTTCAGCAGAATCTTGCTTGCATGTGATATTAATGATATTGTTCTATAATTCCCTCACTCTGTTGAGTCCCCTTTCTTTGGAATGGGAACAAATATGGATCTCTTCCAATCAGTAGGCCAGGTTTCTTGGCACAACTTGGTGACTGTGTCCAAGGAAGTGTCAATTGACTGTGTCCAAGGATGTCAATTGCGAGAGGCCGCAGCTCCCCGCAGACGCCACACACCCGCCGCTCCAAGCCACAGCTACTGCGCTCTGGTCCACTGCGACATGGCAAAAGTCATTAGCCCCACGGAGACTGAGCGGTGCGTTGAGTCCCTGATTGCCGTGTTCCAGAGGTACGCTGGACAGGATGGAAACAGCCTTACCCTCTCCAAAACGGAGTTCCTGAAATTCATGAATACA